CTGTCTGCATGGTGCCACCAACGTATGCGTCGAAGTCGTCGTGCGGATCCTGTCCACCCCACTCGTCCAGCAAGTCGTGCTGGTCCTCTGGAAGATTCGTCCCAGCACCCCTCCTTGCCTCTGCCTCCTTCCTAATCCCCTGGTGCATCCACACGAGGTCATCAAAAATGTCCTCCTCCTCATCCTCCGAGTCCACTGTTGGTGCCTTGTCGTTCCCAGCTCGATTGCGACCCTCCTTCCTCCTGTTGCTCCTCTCAATCGCCTCGTACTCCTCCTTCGGCACATGTGCAGGGATGACGTCATCCACATCCAAAGCGACCTCCTCATCCTCAACCTGGTCCGCCCAAATGTCCACGTACCTGCTCTGGGACCGCTTGCTCTCACTAAGGAGCTGCAAGTTCCAATGGATGAACACGAGCTTCTCAACGTTGCGCCCTGTCAAGTGGTTTCTCAATTTTGTGTGAACGAAGTCGTGGGTGGCCCAGTTCCTCTCACAAGGATTGGCGGTGGACCACATGCCCATCACAGCCCGCGCAATGCCCTGAAAAACCGGCTGCTGACCACCGTGAAGCCCCCACCACGTCGACGGATGCATCTTGTTCGCGTCGGCGGTAGCGAACGAGTCCCGCCAGTGCTGACCATCTTATGGCCAATATTGCGGGTTGTCGCTGTGGAAAGTCCACAGGGTCTCCCACAGACTAGGCATGGCATCGCTGTCCCACCCTCCGACAACGCGAGCGAAGTGCTCAAGCGCAAACTGCACGACAAGCCTGCTGCGGTCCTCAAGCAATGAAATATCGCGCCGTTGTGGATCCAGTAGGTAAGCAGCTGCATGAGTAGGCTATCGCATCATCGCGCACCTGTCCCTCACGATGTCCGTCACCGCGTCCCTGTCAATGTCCGACAACTCCAGTGAACGAAGTCGCCCCCGTAGGATGGCCTCCAAATCCCACAGGTCAGTGGGTGATGAACCGTCCCTGTCAACATCCTTGAGGAACCCATAAACGAGACCCATGACGTCCATGACCCTCTTCACGCCACTCCAAAAGCCGTCATTCCTGCAAAGCGTGCGGACATGAGGCATCCGCTCTCGAGCATCCCTGGCCCATCGCACCGTAGCCCACCTCTCCGACGACACTAACGTGTCCAAGACCTCCCTCTGGTCGTACAGCCTCTCCAGCATCACGTATGATGTACCGAAACGCGTCTTCACTGGTCGTTTGAGCACCAGCGCCTTCTTCATTATCTTGTGAAGTGCAAGCGTGTTTTGTTTGTTGCGCATGAACTTCACAATCTTGTGCGCGTCTCTCATCGTCTGTCGCGCAAAAGGTTGTGCGACAATGTCCCTCAGCAGCAAATTCAGGCAATGTGCTGCACACGGGATCCAGGGAAGGACACGCATAGCAGGATATGGGTGTGTTTGCAACGTGTGCGCCGCAGTTTTCATGACCTCGGCGTTGTCCGTGCAAATCGCATTGACATTCTTGATGCCAATGTCATTTCGTATAACGTCCTCCCAGATCTCCGCTGAGCTGATGCCGGTCTTGTCGCGATGAGACATGTCGATCGTTCAGATGAGGATGGGTCCGGACTCCCCTGCCGCGATGAAGTTCATAATGGGCTTGTTTGTCGTGTTCGTAGCCCCGTCCGTCATCAACGTGCAGCCGAAAGTAGCCCACTTTGCCTTCTTAGGGGCAATGAGGGCTGCGACCTCATGGTAGATGATATCTAACATCCTCGTCCTCACCCCCTCATACGAGAGGAGTCGTGGAACTGGTACTATCGTGGGACGGAATAGAGTGCATATGTAATCCCACAACTGCTGCGTCTCAGGCAAACACAGCCAGTTGAACGCCACTCCGCCACGATAGATAGCGAGGGCCCACAACCGATCAAGATCCATTTGGATCTTGTTCCCTATATGGGGATCCAAAGTCGACTGTCGCATCGCCACCAGGGATGTGGAGGTCGGTGCTCTACTAGCACTAGATCCGCCTGCCTCACTACCGCCACCCACACCTCCTACACCTCGTCCTACACGACGTATGGTCTCCTCAAAACCCGCAGGCTGAGTACCGCCTCGTGCTCTGCCACCACACTGGCGATCTGCATCCAAATCGTTGGCTAGTGTGATCGTCCCCCCAAGTGCATCGCCACTATCCACCCCTCCAGCACGCGAGGGTGTCCCGGGCGGCGTATGGTCTACCTCTTCGTCCCCCTCCGCCTCCATGTGATGACGGAGGTCGTCCGCAGCCATATCACTCTCCACCCTGTCCGCATACTCCGAAGCCAAGCGCTACGAGAGGGCATCTCTAAGGACTACCCCCATCCTTTGCAACTTGTACAAAATCTCTCCGGTCCGGCGTGAGCAGTGCGTCTTCTGCTTTGTGAAATGCTCAACTCCACGAGACCTGGATCCCGTGAAAACCTCCTGGCATAGGCAGCAACGGATAAGGAAGTTGCCCCCGCCCTGCTGACCCCACTCCTGACCCCTCTCAAC